GGGCAAAGGGGGAAAGTCAGAGAGAGGTGCTGCGGGCTGTGGGGCGGGATGGGAGGGAGACGTTTGACAGGTTTGTTGACTGTAAAGAGAGAAAACTTCCCAGGAATGAGGGAGTTGGGGACCGTGCGGAGGCAGATGCTGGCGCGGGGGGCCGGGAGAAAGGCGGTCTAGGGCGCGGGGAGCTGCGGAGAAGGGAGGTCGGAAAGCTACGGCCAGACTGGTCCTGCAGGGGTCACCTCCTTCCGGGCCCCCCATCTCCGATGTCCCTTCCTCAGCTTCTGCAGAGCCAGAGAGGACGGGCCCCCGGCCTCCGCTCTGACCCCCCAGCTGTCCTGCCGCTCCCACCCGCGCCCACGGCGGGGAGATTGGACCACAGGACCAGCCACTCTTGGGCGCCAGTGCTGGGTCGCGGGAGTGAGCGGATGGAGGGCGAGCAGTTGCCTCCCGAAGATCCGGGGGGTCCGAGGCGCCCAACTCCGGCCCGGCCTCTCTCGACTGTGCCAGTGGTTCCTGCCTCAATTTCCCCCCTTATTTGGCCTGGGCAGAGGGGGTGGGGGAGCAGGCTGCAGGTGAGATGGCCATTTATCAGATTTATCAGATACAAAAAAATGTCTTTGATGCCCCCTGACCCCCTCCCCAAGGAAGGGAGATCAAAGGCCCCCGTGGGGAGGAGGGACAGCTCCATTCATCACTCCGAGTGAGCTGGCAGCGAGGCGGCAGCCTTGCTCCTCCAGCCAGTGCAGAGCAACCTCTGCCCCACCATGAGGCAGGGTGCAGAAAGACAGGTGGTGGGGGGCATTCCACAGCAGGGGCCAGACCCTCCAGCCCTCCCCCATCATGGAGTGTGGGAGTATAGGCACCATCCCATAAGGGAATCAATTGCGGGGTGTGGAGGGTAGACAGAAGGTCTCAAGCTTGCTGTGGCAGACACTTGAGGCGTGGGAGAAGAGCTCATGGTCGTCTGGGGAGCATTTGAGATCAGGTAGTGAGGCCACAGCAAGAGAGACTCACCCTTAAGACAGGGAGACAGGGAGGAAAGGCAGGATCCTGAGCCCCCCAGGGTGAGGACAAGTGGCTCAATTGGAAGCTCAGTGTTTATGGCTGAGTACTCCAGGAGATGAGGCAGATGTGAGATAAGAATGATGACCAAGCAGGATAGAAATGCAGCAGTGCCTCCTTGGGCACACCTGGGGGCCCCTGGACCAGGGAGGGCAGCTCTAGAAGTGCTAGACTCCCAGAACTTGATTAGTGAGTGGGCACCCAGCAGGGAAGAAAAGGAATGGCCAGTGAGGGGGGAGGGCCCAGTGCTGTCCGCCATGCCCCCACCTTTAACCTTTAGCAGCACCAAAATGCCACACAGATCAGCTTTGTGTCCAGTCCCTGCTCCTGCAGAGTGGTGCCAAGCTGGGCACTTGCATCCACAGGCGCACCCAGGTTGGGCACACACTCAAGTCAGATGACACCCAACAGATGGTGGGAGGGCCCTGGGGGTTCCTGGGGGCTGCAGGTGGTCAACAACCAGCCCCCAGGAAGCCATTGCTTGTGTTACAAGCCCCCCCTCCCGCCCACCCCTGCCCCCACCCCGCTACTGTTATTGCAGATTATGAAATGCTCTCTCTATCCTGCATTCTTCTCGGAGGCAAGAATTTTAATGTATTTGTCTTTGTCATCAGGGGACCTGGGCTCTGGGACCGCCCTGCCTCTGCCTGAGGAAGGAGCACCCCAAGTCTAGTCCCAGCTGCCTTCAGACCCCAGCCTCTCTCCATGGCCTAGACCTGCCCCTCACCCCCACCCCCCCACTCCAGACACAGCCTCTCTGTGGGGTGGATAAAAATGATGTTATTGAAACAACAGAATTGGGAGCAGTGGCAGGGAGCAGGGATCAGCTCAGGAAACTGGGGCGTTTGCCAAGAAGCCTTCTCCCCCGCAGGCGGCCTTCTGCCCCCACCCCCCACCTTTCCTACAAACACGAACAGCCCGCCCCACCCCTTCTGCCGCTCTCACTCTGGCCAGAGCTTGCCGAAATATGTGCCTCCCCTGGACTCCTTATGTCCTTGTCCTTCCTCAGAGTCCCATTTCAAAGCCAGTTGGCCCAGGAGTGCCCGAAGGAGTGTTGGGCAAGACAGACTGGAATCTGTGATGGGCAAAACTCCTGGATCCCGAATTCCAGGGCCTCATACCCAGGGCAAGCCTCTGCCCCCACACCCTCTTGTCCTCTCACAATCTCTCTCTCTGGGGGCTGC